TGATGTTGCATTGCAACTGAAGCCAATGTTAATTAATGCACACAGAAAGACAGCCCTTGTCCCCCAAATATAACTTGGTTAGGGCTCCATAAAGTTGCAGCTACACCTTTCTAGCTCTGATAAGAGTCTTTAACTTGCCTCCGATCATTCAGGTTGACTGGGTAAAGTCAATTGAACAAAAAACAGGGATCAGACATCTGTTCCCTCTGCAGAAGTATAATAAATACTTTGGAAATTAAACCTGTCACGCTGCTATCAAATACATATCACTTGCTAATGCTCTTTACTGTAAAGGGATCGTGCTATCTCTGAAATTCTGGAACACATAGAGTACCTCTTGTGGCAGTTATATTTTTAAAATTGCATTATTTTGATCAATTGAAGGTACACAAGATGTAGGAAAGTGCTGCCTCAAATCACTCCCCTCTCTTTCTTCCCTGCAAGAGTATCTGCTTTCCATGCTGGCTTGTGCTGCACAAGAAAGCCACTAGAGGGCGTGTACTTCTCTCTTTATTACTTTGCTCCCTTCCAAATGAAGGTTCCTACAATCAAGAAATTCAGAATTAGATACCAGCTTGCCACTGTGGAATCTCAGTTAAGTGACAGATACACATTTGATGAAGCAAACTCTAAAAATACATGCTATACTGAAATGATCAGTCGTTAAGTTGGGTTCCATAATATTTATCTTAGCCAAGGCTTAATTTTCAGTCCATGGACCTGTTGTGAACCTCCTCATGATTATGGAGACTGCAGAGAATTGGCAGAGGAAAATGTTTCTGCGCCTCTTTGGGATATCTTTTTCTCATCACTGAGCAACAGCAACCTGACTCTAAATGCTAAAAGAGAGAAAAGGAGTCTAGTAAAAGGTAGTGCTATTTGGAAGGTCTGATTCTGAACACATTTATCTAAAAAAAAAAACCAACAAACCCAAATTGTGGTTCTGGTAGTTACTATTTCTTTGGTTGAGAAGGACAGCATATGCTCTCTCTGCCCCTTTGTATTTTGTAGCTGTTTAGATCGTTTAAAGTATCTCCATATGCAGGGTATCCCAAAAGTGCAGTTTTAAGACTCTTGGAACACCCTGTATAGCAGATCTTTGGATGGTAGGTCTGTATTATTACAAACCCTTGTATGGTAGGTCTGTATTATTATTGCAATCCTGCTGGCTGAATGCACCAAGGCTAAGAGATATGAGTTCTTTTTTGAAGGCTGCTAGTGAGTTTAAGAAAAATGCACTGAGAATTGTGTTTGCATAAATGCTCTTGGATGCTGCAAGGAAATAAGCAGGCAGTTTTCTTCAATTCATCCCCCCACCACAAAGCCCAAAGGTTATTACACCATATATATACTTTGTACCTAATGTTGCTGCCAGGGAAAAAGAGAGAGAACTTGTTCCCGATTATAATTTCAATAGGGCTCTGCAACAATCAATAGATGTCCACTAGACGGCAGTAGAGAGTTAGTTTTCTAAATCTCTTTGCTTCCATCTAGTGGCTTTCTGAAATTTTTATAACCCAGATAATGGTGGGCCTATTTTCCTAGAGGGAATGTCATTGAATAAACATGAGTTCTTGATTTTTTTTGGGGGGGGGGGTAATTAAATGGTAGCATTTTATATTAGAGAAGAGTCCCTTCAAGATGTGTGGACAGCTATCAAGCAACTATATATCATCCTCTTGCTACACCACTGGTTCTCAACCTTGACAACTTTAAGCGTGTTTGCATCTTACTCCGCGAATGTGCCCCGCTGCCTACATCGTTTTGACAGTTGGGGGGCGCGCGCA